GCTTAGAGGGAACACTAGCTCGTGGCTATATTCCTGTAGTTTAGTTTGGGCCTGTAGCAGTTGCTCTGTACAGGTTAATGCCCAGCTTGAACCCACATCCGTGATGCACAGGGTAGTTCTAGAAACTACGGACTGGGGGGGGGGGACTGTAAACCAACAAGTCCCCCATTCAGATCTCACCCAGAGGCCTTGTCTCTTGGATCCTTTGAACAGTATGTGAATCGTAAGAGTAATATGCCTTAAGAAAAGGGGTGGCCAAACTGCAGCTTGGGAGCCACATGCGGCTCTTTCACATGTACGGTTCCCGGCAGAGCAGCTGGGGGAGTGAAGAGGAGGTATACTTTTTCTCCCTCCCTTCTTTCCCGCTCCCTCCCATCTATTTGCTTCCTTGGTTCTCATTCCTTCTCTCTCTTTCTTTCCACCTCTTTCATTCTTTCTTTCCACCTCTCTCCCTTTTTCTCTGTCTCTTAGACAAATAAATATAGTTAGCAAACAAATATTGGACAAATGAATATCATCATCAATATCTGTTTCTACCCCTTATGTTTTTATTTTTGCCGGTCTCGTTTAATGTTAATAAAAAGCAAATTTGCATATTTTAAAATAAAAGCGTGTGTGTAATATCTGTTCCTGCCTTGCGGCTCTCAAACACCTGATGTTTATTCTATGTGGCTCTTCCGTTGAGCAAGTTTGGCCACCCCTGGTCCAGTCGCAGTTGGCCAGGGGTCATTTCGTAGAAAAAGAGGTGCAGGAGCTCATTAGCATAACTCATTAGCATAACTTATTTGCATATGCCACACCCTCTGACATCACCGGAAGTGTGTCAGAAGGCAACAGCCACTGCTCAGGCTCCACTGGACTGTTTTGGATTGCTAACTATTAGGGGGGAAGGGGAACGTGCAGATCTGTCCTTGCAGAGGAGGGAGAGCTTGTACCTGAATAAAACTTGGTCTTAAAGGTGCCACTGGACTGTTTTGGACCGGGGGGCCGGGGAGAGCTCTGCAACTTACCTGGCTACTTCTTGCTCTGACTGAGGGCTGCTGGGAGCAGGGGGTGGGGCTTGTTGCATGTGCCCAACCCCTGGGCTCTTTACTGCCGGAGCTCCGCTCCCGCAGGAAATGACCCCTGTTAAAGACTAACAAAATATGTGGCAGGGTATGAGCTTTCGTGAGTCACTACTCACTACTAGTTGAAAGGGAGTCCATCTGTCCTATTTATTGGAAAGTGGAGTGATTTCAGATGCCGAATGATATTAGCAAGCAAATGACAATAGCAAGTGAACAACAATAGCAGGTGTGGTAGAATTTAGGTGAGATATGCTGAGGGGTCACAGGTGCTGATCTCTCTGCCTTAAGAAAGTTTGAGTCCAGTGGCACTGTTAAGACCAACAAAGAAGAAGAAGATTGGATTTATACCCCGCCCTTCGCTACCCAAAGGTGTCTCAGACCGGCTTACAAACTCCTTTCCCTTCCCCCCCCACAACAGACACGCTGTGAGGCAGGTGGGGCTGAGAGAGCTCTGAGAGAACTGCTCTTTTTTCAAGAACAGCTCTTATCAGAACTACGGCTTGCCCAAGGTCATCCAGCCAGGTGCGAGTGGAGGAGTGGGGAATCAAACCCGGTTCTCCCAGATTAGAGTCTGCGCACTTCACCACTACACCAAACTTATAAGCTTTCGAGTGCAGGCACCCTTCTTCAGATCCAGAAAGTGGGTAGAAATAACCTTTTCTCCCTCTCCCACAATGCCAGATTTCAAGGGGCATCCCCTTAAGATGATGGGCAGTAGATTCCCGATGGACAAAAGAAAATACTTCTTCGCTCAAGAAATAACTAAATGGTGTGTGCACACGAAAGCTTAACCCTTGGATAAAGTTTTGTTGGTCTTAAAGGTGCCTGACTGGACTCTAAACTTGTGCTGCTGCTTCAGACCAACATGGCTACCCACCTGAATCTACCTTAAGAGAGTAAGGATTGCCTGCTGGGTCAGAGCAGAAGTCCCTCCCCTCAGCGGTTTCCAAGAGCTAACAATCAGGTGCTCAGAACAAAAGAAGAAGAGGAAATTGGATTTCTATCCCACCCTTCACTCGGAGTCTCAGAGCGGCTTACAAACTCCTTTCCCTTCCTCTCCCCACAACAGACGCCCTGTGAGGTAGGCAGGGCTGAGAGAGCTCTTTTCAGAACTGTCCTTGAGAGAACAGCTGTGCCGGAACGATAGCTGGCCCACGGTCATCCACCCTCCCCAAAGCGGGCTCAGGGTGGATCACGCAGGGCCCGCGGAGCTACCCTAGCTGTTGATAGATCTGTCCTCTGCTGTCTTTCTTCTTGTAGGGAACTGACATAAGAACATAAGAGACGCCAATGTTGGATCAGGCCAAAGGCCCATCCAGTCCAACACTCTGTTACACTGTGGCCAAAAATACCAGGTGCCATCAGGAGGTCCACCAGTGGGGCCAGGACATTAGAAGCCCTCCCACTGTTGACCCCCCCCCCCCAAGCACCAAGAAGACAGAGCATCACTTGCCCCAGAGCCCCTATCTATACCTTGTGGCTAATAGCCACTGATGGACCTCTGCTCTATATGCTTATCCCCTTTGGGGCCGTCCATGCTTGTAGCCGCCACCACTTCCTGTGGCAGTGAATTCTGACATGTGTTTTGATTTGATATTAACATTCAGATTTAAGAGAGCAAGGGTAAGACTAAAATGTGATATAGATTTAGAAAATGGAGGCCCACAATGACAACAAGAACAGGGGAAAGAG